GATTAGATTTTTCGTTTTCTATTCAGCTGGATATCGTACATACATGCACGTACATACGTACGGATGTGCCTACCTGGCAGGATTAACTGACCATTTCTCTGCAGATAAAAAGGACAGGTGTAATTATCTACATCAATTGCAAGATATCCAAGTGTTTAGGTATTTTTGATTGCTTTCGATCAAATAGTAATGATAAAATGAATCTTGGACATTGCCACCAAGCCGTAGGAAACGTAATATGGCACCCAAACATCACTCTCATAATACGAGAATAACTAAACAGTGCGGACGCGGTCTACTAGTACTAGCTATCTCTGAGCTTACTGTCTCTCTCTCCCTGGAAACAGCCTCTTCACCGATCTTCTGCACCCGATTAGTACAATGCACGGTTAACAACTTTCGTAATGAAGAACCATAAAATTTAAAAGGAATACATAGGCACCCGCCCCCCCTCAACTCGGGGCAAACCGAGCCAATGAGAACCCTACTTCTAGACCGGAAATGTACCAATACCCACCCGTGCCCCATTCTGGCGTTTAATGTTCTCCAGATACAAGTTCCTGGTAAATGCTCGTTATGAATGCCACAGCTCCCCATAGAGACTGACCGCATCGAGGTTAGACTCGGACGTACGTTCTGTCGGTCGATCAACTTTGTGAGCCTTCTGAAGACTGGGATGTGACGAAACTCCCATGAAAACAAATTTAATCATTATATAAACCATTTTATATAGCCATCTAGCTACTCGAACGAACTAGCATATATAGCACCCCCTCGAAGTCTTTCAGCTACCAGAATTTCAACTCAGAAGCTTATCCGGCACTATATATTCATATATCTACCTCACTTGCTATTGACACAAAGAACACAATATTTTCTTCGATATCAATATATCCACCATGCCAAATTCAATTGCAAACGGGAACAACGACGGCGGTGGTGGAAATGATGTTGCCCCAAATGCTCAATTGGCCGCTGGTGAGAATATCATACATTTCCACGTCGTATTCGGCATTTTCTAACACTGTTTTATAGATGCTCCTCCTCCTCCGCCTCAAAACCCAATCGTACCACAAGAGGTTAGTCTTGCAGGTAGCAGGATGTTAGAGAACTGGTATAAACAGGACATAAAGGAGGAACCAGTGATTGTGTATGCGAACTCTACACAAAAATAAGGTACGACCACATTCACCACCAAATACAATTGGCTTACTTGGAGTTCTAGCTAACAGATTGGAGATCATAGATATTAAATTTTGTGCTTATTCAACTCTATACAATATATTGTAATCGGAAAATCTTAGCTTGGTCGGATATAATTATAATATAATACGATATAATGACAATGGGAGCTCGATCGGGGATGCGGGAAGCTGGGAAGGAGGAGAGGGGAGTTTAGGGGTTGATTTTTCGTATTCGTTTTTCCTGACTTTTTTATTTCTTCTTTTTCATGCGTCCAGTCGATCTTGTTCGTTGTTTTGTTCTTTCTTATTCCTCATGGTCTACTGGCTTTCAAGTGATCAGTTGGTACATGTACCTTTCTACCAATCGGTAACCGGCCTACCGTTTCAAGAGTGTCTTTCGTGACGTGACATGACAACTGTAATGCAACTATCATGTCATGAATCTACTCGTATTTTCCTGACGTTTGTGGACGCGACTGATATTGCATGCCATACAAAAATACGCCAAGCTCATGATTTTGGGTGTATGTAATAATGGCCCAGTTCAAAAACGTCAGGAAGATACTAGTATTCCCCTAACTATCATGGGAATGACCGCATATCTACAAGACATTCAGCACAACCACGTACATCTTATAAAGAATACCTACATTATACTCAGAGTACGATGGCCGCTGCTATATATACGTACTGGATCTTTGCACTGCCAGCTTGCGTATTTAATTTTTTTTTTCTTTTTTTTTTACTGTAGAGTACAGCAGTTGGGTCGCATCATATGCTATCCAAAGGGTAATTGTAGATCATATTTCCATTCCGATCTGTATTTTAGGAAAGATTGATGCATCTGCAGGAGAGGTCACATCAAGTGAAGAAGCGAATTATACATGCTGTCAGCGATCAAAATAACGTAAAACCGTACATATGTACATGTGCATACTTGCCGACATGGCTGACACGGCGCACGTATTATTCAGGATTAATCAGGGTACGGAAAAAGCCTTCGTAGACATGAATAGACTCCACACCACTGGGTGAGGAGTGTAAATAATTCAGTTCTTCTCCCGCCAGGTGCGCCGTGCTTTTACTACCTACAACGAACAGCTGTACATACGCATTGATCAAACCAGTGTCTTTTTCACTGCTACAAGACCTCTGCATTTAATCCATGGCCGAGCGCTGTAGCCTTGATCATTGATAGCCGCAGCCTTCCTTCACAAAATCAAAAGTGCAATGTCAAGATGAAACGATCGGCGAGTATGTACCAAAAGCTGCGCTTTAGGTTGCCCTTTTGGTACTTCGGCTATGTTTGAGGGACCTTATCTGTTCTGGTACGTACGAGGAGATATTTGTCACTGTTTTTCCAAACGGGGGACTTGAGACATCCACGTGAAGAACAATTTCAAGGTCAAGCTTTCCACTTTGCACGATGATGCGTGCGGCTGTGAATGATCGAATGAACAACTAACAGCTCTCTGTAAAATATGGAGGTGATCAACTAATTAGTAGCGACAAATACAGCACTCATTGCCGATCATCAAATCGACAGTGCGCCCTGTAGCTGGGGTAACTACTGTACAATCCACCCGTAGGATACTCGCAAAAGAGCTGGAGGAGGTGTCAAACCTCCCCACACTTCCGGATCCACTCACAATCCTGACTGATCGAATAAAAAGGATCGACTCTGGTAGTCTCTAGCTGTGACCCAGAGGCACAGCTGCAGTTGAAATTCGAAAAGTCCACATTATCGAACTAGTACAAGCTGTCAACTAGTATACCGCCTCGCAAAGCAGACCCCCAGCCTTTATTCTGGTAAGTCCACCCCATGATCCATGCGGCGAAGACGAAGGGCGTCCCTACGAAAATCTATCTACGTAGGTACATTCTTGTAATTAACTATCAAGTACATATGTGCGTGTAGTTTAACAAGTAAAGCCTTATCTCATAGTGGCGTAGTCTAGCGAGTTAGCCGAGGGGTCTTGCTACTTTTATTTTGCGGGATATGCAGCACAGCCATTTATAATTTAGCAAAGGCCGATGTGCGAACCCACCAACAGATCTGGATAGAGCCACTCATAAAGTGGCTGGGCACACAATAAAAGCATTCAATTGAACTGAGGGCGAGCATAGGTTATCCGAGATTGGTACTCTACATGATTCGCGTATGCTATCCAGGTTAATGATATGTCTTCTCACAAGGCAACAGTAGTAAAAGCGGTACCTAGCTAGCTAATCGGGTATCTTTGTTGGGCCGTACATCCCCATATCTTGTGTTGTGTCGACTTGTGTGTTTCGGAAGCCAGTGCCTAAGGTATCGTAACGGAGTGTTCATCCATAGCCTGCCGACTACGGCTGCGTTTTATTTTTTGTTGGAAATGATTTCTTTTTCCCTTTTTCCCTTCCTCCTCCTTTTGTTTTTTTCCCTCCACCTATTTCTTACAGATGGGGTGTTAATTACCCCACCAGTCCCAGGAGATCGTGAGTGCGGTTCCCTCCTTCTCCCCGCTAATCGGATTTGCGGTTGTGTACTGAATGTGTCTTAAGTGGCACACATCTTCGGATACAACTACCTACCTCAATTGGGCTGGTTACACACCTCTATTCTAGAATGCGGGTATCGAAGCAGTATGACCGTGAAACACGTTTGCAGGTAAAAGCCTGGAAACAAGCTTAAGTAAAGTAACGTACTGCATGCATTTGACTCGTCTGGGCGTCCTTATGCCCTGAGTCGTTGAGATGGCGGTCTCTCACTGACTGCACATGCTGTCAAGAGCCTCACAAGGTAAATGAGGGGGTGATACGTGATACTGTGTACATGTGCAATATTCGTAGTATGTATCTTTCGGGACAATCTGTGATCATACCAGCTCCCGGGGGACTATTCCGATACACGCGGGAGACCTCGGACGAGAGAGGCCGAATTAACTTGAAAAGAAAGGAAATTAAGAGCGCAGCGCGAGGCACGTACTCCACAGCGCCGGCATAATGTATATAATATGTACGTACGTATTGATCATTATGAGGAACTAGGAAAATATAGCAGGCTGCATGCCATAGGTCCCTTGTGCATAAACCGTCTGTACATGTCTACCTGACAATTACTCAACTTTGACAACCAGTAAAGAGGTGGGGAGAGCTTAAAGGTGGGTGAATAAGTAAAGTGGCAGAGGGCTACACCCACCACATAAATGCACACCCGGTCGATCGCGATGCTCAATGCTTCTTACAATGGGTAGGTCCTTCCTTCAAATGCCCGGTTGTGTTTCTAACGCACTACCAGGTTATGTTATCCAATATAAGATCTCAATTTCAACTAACATACCGGTACTCATATCTCAGTGCTCCGGATCCGGCTTAAAGGCGTTGAAACTCGAGATATCTGAAGGGGAATAGCTTTTATGCAGCTCCTAAACTCTCCCAAACTACCGAATATATGCCTTGACTAGATAATGATTGGTGATCTTTTCCGTCCATTTTCTTTTTTCTTTTTTGAATCTCTTTTCGTGCAGTATTGCAGGGCTTGATTTTCAGTGACCATTCCACAGTCAGCCAGCTAGCTAGCCGACTCTGGAGAGAGAAGAAGCCTCATATTGTTCTGAGCCTGCGCATGGGTCGCCGGGCCGAACCACGTATAAGTATCGATGTAACCTTCAATCAAGAACTAAGTTAGCTAGATCCCCTCGAAATTCAAATCCTACTGAGCAGATCGATCTGAGTCCAAAACACCACCAAGAAAGATACATCCCGCCTCATTTACGATCTTTCGGCATTAAGACACTCCCAATCTACCCGTTGTACCACAAATAATCTTCATCGAGAATGTCACTTCGTCAGGTACAAGGCCCGGTGGCAGTAAAAGCTGTCAACGCTAGTTCCCGGCCGGTCAATGATCAGAGTATTTCTTTCCTTCTCGCCGAAGCGCACCCCGATCCTACGAACTGACAGAATTGCAGATAAAGTTCTCGCCTTTTCTAAAACCCTGCAACAAGTACAAGTTCTGGACGGTGGGATGTTGGCTAAGATGCTGGAAAAGGGAGTCAAGGAGGATCCGTGGAGTTCAGTTGCGAGGTTGGAGAAACCCAAGGAATAATAGAGGTGGCAGATTTGAAAGAAGTTGGTTACTGGATGGAAAACTGACATATCGATGGCTACACGTATACATTGTTGTGAATTTCCTCGTTTTCATTTCATTTGGAACTTTGGTGTCCGTTTTTTTCGTTGTATACTTTTCCATTATTACGCTAAATCATTGTAATTTCACCTTGCTTCTAATTGAATTTCTTCAAATCTTGCAACTTTGTAGTTGATTTCTTAGTGAACGGTTTTTAATGAGTCATTATTAGTAATTGGCTCTCGTGTCAAGACCACTATGTGCTCAGCAGTATAGTGTGTGTGTTTTGGGGGGGGGGGGGGGGGGGTACACAGGCCACGCAGCACCGTACGTACTCGTACAGATACTTATCTCACATACTCACATTTTCATAACCGATCATGTGCTCTATACTACTCGATGACAGCAACAGCAGCGAGAGAAAATTAGAAATGATCTGTTTTTCAGCTTTAGAGCGATAGCCTTTATCGTTACCAGAATCAATTATTAGTCATACATCTACAAGATAACTCCAAGTATGCGAAAAGCCGCGTTATATAGTACATACCTAGCGTAGTTATTCGTGGCAGATATTCGTATTTGACCTAACCAATAATATTGCATTGCCCTAGATGTCGTTGTGTCACCTTGATTCAATCTGTAATGTTTGGACTGGTTGTTTCTAATCATTAATTTCAACCAAGTACTTATAAACATTTCTATATAGGTAAAAGATAAGTCGGTGTCAATAATTTTTGTAATAATAAGATCAATTTGCTTAATTGAGATCCAAGTGAATGGACGGAAAAATGGTTAGATGAAGCGAGTATTTTACACTAGGGCTTGCATGAACTCTGTTACATTCCGTCGGAGTACATATTTTACGGGCAACTACGTGTACATTTACATAATCAAATAACAGCACAGACAGGCTATTAATCAGTAATTTGTGAGTGAGGAACACAGTCTTCGGCATATCGCAATAGGAAGGTGAGGTTTCAGAGTTCTCGGAGCATAATGAGATATGTACATATACAGAGTTTATAACCGCCGTCAAACATGTTAAGACGTTCATGTATCGGAAACAAAGAGAGGCAGGGTACCACGCGGTCAACAAAGGTTGGCCAAGAAGGTGATTGACCCGAGATTTCTACCTGGTGTAACAGTTACTATGATACACCTCAGCTGGGAAAGCACGATGGTTGTGGTTGCTGCAACACTGGAGGATCGCGGAAGAGGATTCTGATCCCTATAGAAAAGTTCCGAAGTAACTAACAACGAGTAAGTGGATTGTGGAGGGGAATTCCTTTTCCTTTCCTCCTTCCTTCCTTTTATTTTATTGATAGATACTAGACATTCCTACCTTAAGGCGCGCGAGCGTTGGCGAGAGCATGTTTTCTAAGCATCTCTTCGCGGTCGCGTATGTGTGACATGAGATCAGGTTTGGATTAAAGAGAATGGAGTGTAATAGTACGTATATATATATAGAATAGAGTAAGACAGATCTCGATCATATCACCCTAGCCACTCGAATACTCCTAACTAGATCATGAATAGATAATGGTTTCCTGTGATAGTTTTGGAGTAAATCAGCCCAAGCGGTACTGTGTCTGGTTCTTTTCAGTCAACATACTACTATGTATTTCACATAAGTTGCTCGAGTGATATTAGAGATGTTCCGATACAGTCTAGCTTGACATGACCTACTCGGCGTTTTAGATTACTCATCTGCGGCCGGGCCCGATAATTTAATTTTATGCACGCATTAGATCGAATGGAGGCTCTAGTGGTAATACACCAACATGAGAAACGCCAAAGTCTCAATTGAAACAGAATATTCCTAATTCAAAATACAGCTGTACCCAAAACGGCGTTCTGTCATATTTTCGCCCTGAAACAGCGATTGTGAGTACCGTCTAAAAACATCAGCCTCGTCAGAGACGTTCTGCCTTGAATTGGTCGCGTGATGTAATAGGACTAGCGAGTTTATTGTTCGAGTGATAGCTCATGATCATAACAAGTAGATAGTGGATCTGCCTGTTAGGATATTCCATCGCATAACTCTATGTGGTTCGGGGCACCTACATACATTGATGTATACTTGTAATATATGATATACATAACACATATGTTCCCTTGAGCTTTCGATCTCTCATACATACATGTAAGCTACTGACACTGATCGCGATCCTATTATGCCGCCGCAGTTACAGCAGTTTTCGTATTGCCTGTCCTCACTGAATTAACACACATAAGGTGATTTCCGAGTTAGGAAACCGTAATTACTCTCTTAGGTATGGTTGAATGTAATCTAAGTGTTACCAGCAATAAGCATTACCTAAACGGGCCGATGCGATTCGGAGTCGGCAGACAATATGAAAACTGCTATAATACACTGCATATATACTTGCCGTGAAATTAAGTATTGTCTCTCGCGATAGCAACCATTGACCTCAACATTTCCTTAGGCCCACCAACCACCACCATAACCATGATAATTAACGCAGGAGATAATTACTTTTGAGCATAAAAATGACTATGACTTTAACACACTTGGTTTCAGCTATTGGTTGTGGTTTTATAGGGTCTCAAGTTTGGTGGGGTTGACAATACTTAATTTCACCGCAAGTACATAAGCTTAAAATCAGTAAGTCCTTCATTTCGCATATACATTCTAGATCTACGCCTATACATGTGTTAGTTACAAGAAGTACATGTATACATGTACCTTTCCTTGATATATGATTACATAAAGTTTCAGGGGTACTGACACACGTATTTCTTGCCGCCTATGTAGTATGCAGAATCTCTCAAGAATACTGCATGGAGCTTCCATCCGCACAGAAATTCATCATCTGTCTTATTCGATCCATTTTATTTCACTCCCAAATTTTCTTTTAAATACATGTATTTACTGGCGTTGGCCCTTTCGAATAATCTAAGCCTTGAGTGTAATGGGAGTTTCACCAAGCCATCGAGGCTTCGTTTAAATTTTTAGTACACCTTTACAATCCATACTGCGCTCCTTCCACTAGCTGGCCTCTTCCTTGTGCTCCTCTCCGCATTATCATCATCACCGCAGTCGAACTCATCACCATCGTCAGTCGAGAAGCAAATGCTGACCTCTTTCCCTCTGGAAGCTTGATGTAGACGAAACTCGTAAAGGCCAGTGTGTCGTTACAATAGGGTGGTGTTACGTCCAATTATTCAGTGAATATCACAAAGTATAATCCCCCTGCAGCTGCCCTCCATCTCTTCTTTCTGTATCTGCCCTACACTTCTCTGACATACTGGATTTGACCCATCCCACTATATATCAAGGTTACATCTGTCCTCCATGAATTGCGTCTGAACGCGATATTTTATATGATATAGCTCTCTTCCCGACATATACGCGGACGAATCAACTGGTGAGCTCGATGGGCGTTTTGAGGAGTGGCTCGACAGCAGGCCTCACCAAAGATATGTACGTCTAGCCTCTCGATGCGCAGATTGCATTTGAAACATCACGTGAACTCGGATAAGTTGGCCAATTCCTGAGAAGAACAGAAGGTACATGTAGATGCTGTCGATGTGTCTCTTAGCTCATTGTTTCTCCATATCGATCTGGTTCACTAAACGATGCTTTTACCCCACATGCATATATTTCGGCAGAGCTGAGATGGGTGTTATGCAAGGTCGCACCGCAACGCTGACGACGCTCGGGACAGATAGCAAGAGCCCACCGATTAAACACCGGCACCCCATGTGTCAAAGCGCCGAACATTGCTGTGTGGTATGCGGCAGGACATTCATTGATTAGAGTCTTTTAGCTGCAAGAGTTGGACAGAAAGTCGAGCACTTCGACAAAAAGTCCTGCACATCTTATTGGTTGAACGGCTGCAAGTCTCTCCTTAAAACAGCTAGACTTTCTGTCCAACCTGCTCGACTTTCTGTCCAACTCGCGCAGCTAAAAGACTCTATTGAGAATTAATCGTTAACCGGGAACTACACAATCTCGAACCCTGTCAAGATCGCGAGTGACCTGACTACTCGTAGGATCATGACGTTTCCGAACACGATCGGGTCCGCATGAGCCTGCATATGACCTGCATTTCAGCTGTTGGCCTCGAGTGAATATCAAAGCCGTGAACTCTCTGTCGAAGCCGTGAACTACCTGTCAAACCCATGAACTCTTTGAAGTGCCCGTCAATGCCATGAAGTTCCAGTCAACGCCAGTCCACGCCAGTCAATGCTATGAGGTGCCAGTGCCAGTGCCAGTCAACGCTGTGAGGTGCCAGTGTCAGTGCCTGTCACTGCCATGATCCGAAGGAAAACTACGACGTCCTTGACGAAAAGGGGGCAGATATTAGGGTATGCAATATTAGAAGGCGAGAATAGATTGACTATAAGGCAAATCTCGGAGAGATGTGCTGTTCCAGTTTCAACCTGCTCAGATATAATCAATAAGGTGAAGCAGAAAGCCAGGGTTACAGGAATCCCTGATCTATGTGCTATTGAAAACCTGAAGCCCGATCTCAACTCCCAAAGAGATTCTAACAAGGTCTTATCTGCGGAGGATGAACAGAGATTGATTGAATTAGCTTTGGGTGATGCTATACATTATCAGATGCCTTTGGGTTAACTAGGAGCAGAAGGTAATCCTAACCATTATATATTCTGGTCTTGTTTGGATCAAATCTAATAAATTTTAAACCGGTTTAGATGTGTGTATTAATACAATAAGGAATGCTCTAGCATCTGACAATATTCATCGCCGAAAACCTACCATTAAGCCCTTGATAAGCAATAGACACAAAGCAGATAGACTTGCATTCTGCCTCAGGTACCGCGATTTGGATTGGCAAGATGTTATTTTCACCGATGAGACTTATTTTGAGACGAGAAACCTACGAGAGAGACAATTTAAGGGTGTTTTAAGAAGGCCGGGCAAAGCCCATATTGATCGGAATATGGATTGCAAGTTTATAGGAGGGGCATCAGTTATGTTCTGGGGTGCA